AGTTAGGAAGGGTAGATTCTTGTGATTTATTACCTGCTGTTATTGCTCACCCGTTCTGGCTGTTTGTTCAGCCGTTTGTCTCAGTTTCTTCAGTCGCTTGCCAGGGAATTTTCTTAGTTTCTTGCTAACCTTTCTTGCGTCACTTTCACATAACATATTTACAGGTTCCAGAGATGAGGATAAGGATATGGGCCTCTTTGAGGGTCATTATTCTGCCTACCTCAGGAATGGTTCATTTGACAAGACAGTTTCTGGTTCCATCAGGTTGAAAGTTAGGGTTGGGGAAAACTCTGAAATGAGGATCCAGAAGTCAGTTTGCCATTTATCCCTTTGTCCATGTTAAAAAGGATTTTCTGTGTCTGCTCTGTGGCCCTCAGGATAATGAGAAGGGCCAGCCTTCTTCCTTATTTTCCTCCCTGTGCTTCTGCCAAGCAATGGAATCCAGTATATTAAGTCTCTACATTTCTAAGCCCTACAAGAGAGAAGTTCCACTTCTAAGTGTCTCTCCCTGTTCCTGTCAAGTCTCTGTCTCTCTGTGTGTGTCTTTGTCCCTCCCTGTCCCTGTTCCTGCCCCCCACTGTGCCCTGAGCCTCTGTCTGGCCTTGTTTCTCATGTGACTTCTTCCCTAATCCGGTATCTGGGATTCCCAGGGGAAGTGACTTTGTGGGTTTACTCTGTGGGTTTTTGCTTATGCAGCAGAACCTGCTTTTTCTGAACCTTATGATACTTTCAGATCATTTGATGATGACTCACTGCTGAGCTGGTGGAAATGACGAGGGCACTTGACCTTTCCTGGAGATTGGGTGGAAGGGCCCTTGGGAGGACCCGGAGTGGAGGAGATGTGTTTGGCCTTCCTCCATTATGCAGACAAGATGCCTCGGGCCTGGCCTCTCTGGCTCAGAGTTGCCTGGAGCCTGGAATTACCCGCACCTGCCCTGCCGTCCACCCTGTTTCTCAGCGCCTCTCCTGACGCCCGCCTATTCACAGCTGGGCTGAAGCTGAGCCAGGCGCCTGGATTGGGCTGAGGGGTCCCGGGACAGGCGGGGCTCCCATTGGCCCCTCATCCTAGACCAGCCGTGGCAAGCCCCCGTGTTGGGGAGCTTGATGTCCCAGCGGGACCACTCCATTCTTTGTTGCTGCTCATCAGGACTCAGGCTAGGGCGTGGGACAGCCTTTGGGTTTAGGGGTTGTAATTGGGTAAAGAGGTGGGAGAAGTAGGAGCCAGTTTGTTGGGACACCCTCCTTGGGGAGCTGTGGATGGTGACCACGGTGATGGCAGAGATTTGTTTTGCCCCTAATGGTCTGGGCCTGCCTGTTGAGAAGGAGGGGAGTTGAATCTGCCCCAAGAGGTTCAGTGAACTGGGCTTGACTTCCTTCTCTTCTGCCTCTCTCCCCCAGGTTGGGGTGACTCAATAGGCACACCGTCAGAGTCGGGCATGACCTATGACGCACTCCATGTATTTGACTGGATCAAAGCAAGAAGTGGAGACAACCCTGTGTATATTTGGGGCCACTCCCTAGGCACTGGGTAAGAGTTCCAGCATGTGAACAACATAAACCGATGGACAAAAACAGATCCAGAGACAGAGCAGCATCCATCAGACCGTCAAACCTCAGAGGGAAGGTAGGGGAGGGTGGGGTTAAGGAGGAGAGATCAACCAAAGTACTTGTATGCGTGCCTTAAGCCTAACCAATGGACACACACAACAGGGGGGTGAGGGCATGAGTGGGGTGGTGGTGGGGGGGCAATGGGGGAATAAGGACACATATGTAGTACCTTAATAAACAAATAAACTTAAAAAATTAAAAAAACACACAAGAGTTCCCAGCATGGCATGGCCTTTTGGAGAGCAGGTCTTCATGGAGCGACCTTCCAGCCTGGGCTCCCCGAGGGTGCCCGGTGCCCTGCCGATCCTGTAGCACCGTTAGTTCTAACAAGCCTTGTCTCTCATCTGCATGCCGGGCAGGGGATGCGTGGCCACAGGGACCATAAAGGGTTGAACTACTTTAACTCCTCAACCCAAGAAGTGACTCGAGACACACATGGGCAGCTGTAGGGTGGGCTCCCCCTCCTCAGGGAGGATGGACAGACTCAGCCCAAGGTTGTGCCCTTGGGGAGACAGAGCAGAGCAGACCAGATGGGGTTCAAGTTCCAGATGTACCTGGGCTTTGCACCTCCTGGTTTTGGACTTTGTGTGCTGGCCAGCGAGCCCCGGTGCTGGGGCTCTGATCACTGCGCTGGGGCATTTGTACCCACCAGGCAGCACAGGCCGTACTTGGTTTACCGGGGAACCCGGGGGAGGCAGCGGTGCCAAGACAGGAAGCACTTAGTGTTCCATTTGGGGTCACCTAAATTGTTTTTGCTGGTGTGAGGTCCAGAATGTTTCTGACAGATCAGTGCCCAGAAGCCCAGGACTTTCAGCAGCCCTGTCTTTTCCTGTTACCTTTTATTCAGGTGCAGTGGCTGCGACAGCTGTCCAGATTGCTGCTTATCCTGATTGCACGCTGCCTTAGGGCTGGGCTTGCAGGCTGGGCGTTGTCTGGGTCAGGGCCTCCTGGCTTCTCCTCATGGGGAAGCTAGCCCTCAGAAATGTGCCCGGGAAGGGGAAGGGACCAGGCCGTCTTGCCATGGCTGCCTGCAAAGGACATGGCTGGTATGGCAAGAGGCCCCCAGAACCATGCGGTGGACACAGCCTGCTCTTAGCTGTCTCAGGAGCACTCGCTCCAACCAGGTGTGAGCCGAGGGGCAGTGTTGTGCAGCCTGAGGGAGGCTGTTCCCCGTGAGGCTGCAGAACCCGCCCTGGGGACATGAAGGGTGGCTGTGATCGCCATCCTTGACAGAGGGTTGGCTGAGGCTGGGGCAGCCGGGCCCACCCACAGTCCTAGAGCGTTTTTGTCTCCCCACCCCCTCCCTATAATGCTACCAACCTCCTCGCAGATCCCACAGCTTCTCTGCTCACTTTCTAGTTTCATATAAAACAGTTTTTGTCAAACTTCAACTGAACTGTTTTGTTTTCTCTTTTCAGAGTGGCAACGAATCTGGTGCGGCGCCTCTGTGAGCGAGGTAGGGGCTCACGTGGCCTGAGTTCTGCTGTGTGGGCAGGGCTCCTCCCGGTCCCGGCTCCCTCAGGGCAGGCAGAGCGCCTGGGCACCGGCTGTGTTCCAGGCCCTGCTGTGAGTCTTGTGAAGTGCCTGTGCTCCGTGTCCCCTTGGAGCCCCTTGAGCTGGGCATTGAGGCCAGGGCCTCAGCTGCCCTAAGCCTGCATCCCCCCAGGGATTCCTGAGCAGTGGGTGCAGCCTCACCAGGAACCAGGCTCCAAATAAGCAGCTTTACCAGATGTGGTTCTCAGGAGCGACCCATGGCTGCCTGAGGGTCCCCTGTCTTTCATGCCATTCATGTGGGAGGGCCTGAGGGGTGCAGCTGGCCAGGTTGGCACCTAGCTTCCACTGTCTTTTCTGGGGGGGGCTACCCTTCCCATGGACCCTCATGGGGACATGGAGCTTGTGTTTAGTCTGGGCTTCTTGCCTGTCTCCCACTTTCCTGTTTATTTTGCCAATAATCTAGAGACGCCTCCAGATGCCCTTATATTGGAATCTCCATTCACTAATATCCGCGAAGAAGCCAAGAGCCATCCATTCTCAGTGGCAAGTACAGATCTTATTTAAAATGGACTTATTTTTATTATTAAAGTAATTACTATGAAGTGACTGTAGTAAGTATAGAAATAATACCATAAAAAATAAATATTTAAGTATTCTAATGAAGGCAGATTTATTAAGAATTCATCTTTGTTTACTTCTGGGCATTGGCTTGAATCCATAGCTGCCCAGGATGTTTATAACTTTGCAGCCAGTTAGGACGGGCTCACAACTCAGTGGCAGGACCCTCAGGAAGCCTTGCCCGCGTGGCTTGGCTTGCACACCGGCATTGTTCCCTGTGGGGCTCAGCCTACGCTGAGGGTTGTTACTCAGCTTTTTCCTCAGGTCTGAGCTGGTGAGTGCCTTCCCTCCATCCCCACAGACAGTGCTGAGCAGCAAGGCTCTCACTGTTGAATTTTGGGGTAACGTGTTGCCTAGAACAGTGGTCGGCAAACTCATTAGTCAACAGAGCCAAATATCAACAGTACAACAATTGAAATGTCTTTTGAGAGCCAAATTTTTTAAACTTAAACTTCTTCTAACGCCACTTCTTCAAAATAGACTCGCTCAGGCCGTGGAAGAGCCACACTCAAGGGGCCAAAGAGCTACATGTGACTCGAGAGCTGCAGTTTGCCAACCACGGGCCTAGAGGGACTTCCTCTGGGGCCTTTCCGTTTCCATCCCACTGCTTCCTAACTGGCTGTGTTTTCTGTGTCAGCCTATCATCTGACCTCACACTGCTCCGTTGCTGACTAAGATTCCTCTTTAGTTTTACTTCTTTGATGTTGCTTTTCTCCCAAGTTGTATTGACTCCCATTTTTCTTTTCTTTAAATATTTTTTAATTGATTTTTTACAGAGAGAAAGAGAGAGGGATAGAGAGTTAGAAACATCAATGAGAGAGAAACATTGACCAGCTGCCTCTTGCACACCCCCTACCGGGGATGTGCCCGCAACCAATGTACATGCCCCTGACCGGAATCGAACCTGGGACCTTTCAGTCTGGAGACCAACACTCTACCACTGAGCCAAACCGGTTTCGGCTGATTGATTGCTTTTAGAGAGAGGAAGATGGCAGGGAGAAAGAGAAATATCGATCAGTTACTTCCCCATGCTCCCCGATCAGGGATTGAATCCGCCACCTGGGTATGTGCCCTGACCGGCAATCGAACCCATCCCTTTTGGTGTACGGGATGACACTCCATTCAGCTGAGCCACACTGGCTGTTTAACTGACTCTTCTGCACATTGTTTCCATTTCTTCTTCAGGTATATCGATTCTTCCCTGGGTTTGACTGGTTCTTCCTCGATCCCATTACAAACAGTGGAATTAAATTTGCAAATGATGAAAAGTGAGTACTGTATTAGAGCACCTAATTCTTCACTTAGAAAAACACTGAGAACCTCCAGGATAAATCTGCTCAGTCACATTAACCAAATAGGATGGAATTCTGAAGACTTTCGTTCTCTAGCCTCTCCTTATAGAGGGAAAGCAGGTAGAGAGCTGCCTGAGAGAAAAAGGAGTCTGGGAAGACTGCAGGATTAAAGCTAGTGAAAGCAGAGTCCATGTGGTTTGTATGTGAGAATAGTGCTGTTCTCCTGGGCAAGCCGCCTTGGGCCCTGCCCCCAGCTGAGTGGTGACACTTGTGGGGTCCAGCAAGCACTTCACCCCCACGGGGCCCAGCCCTCACCCACTGGAATTCAGGAGCCCCCTCTTGGTGGGCAGGTCTGTTGCCAATTACTTGCCTCTTTCAGAGCAGGTAACAGTAAGGAAAACGCCCACAGTCGAAAATCTAAGAAAGCGGATAGTTCAGAGTTTGATTCGCTTCACCCTGGCAGCGGAATGCAGTCAGAGTGGATGGGATGACGAGCCCCCATCCCAGGTACTGCCAGGTGCCAGGCTTGCCCCCAAATCCTGAATGAGTGTTAAAGCAGTAATAGTAACTATTATTCAAAAACTGACTTTTCCTCAGCCATTTAATTGATGTTGGCTATGATTTCTATTATGTAAATCAAAAGTAAACATTCTACTTAAGGGCTCATTCTCTGAACAGTGTTCATATTCTGTTAGCATTGTCTTTTTTATATCTTTATTTCATCTCTTAATTTTTTTTAAAAAAGGAAAAAAAATTCTTATCTAAATATTCAGTTAATATCTAAAAATCTACATTTTGAAACAAAATGTTGAAAAATAGCATATTCTCCCCCTCAATTATATTTTTTGGTTCTAAAAATTGAACTAAAACTTGAGCAAAAATTATAAGCAAAATACCTGTTTGTAAATACGGTTATTTTTCTAGAACTTAAGAAAGAATTATCTGAACAAACTGGACTTATTCTAAACAACAGCAGTGAGTGCTGTTCTCCTGGGCAAGCCGCCTTGGGCCCTACCCCCAGCTGAGAGGTGACAGTTGTGGGGTCCAGCAAGCACTTCACCCCCACGGGGCCCAGCCCTCACCCACTGGAATTCAGGAGCCCCCTCTTGGTGGGCAGGTCTGTTGCCAATTACTTGCCTCTTTCAGAGCAGGTAACAGTAAGGAAAATGCCCACAGTAGAAAATCTAAGAAAGCGGATAGTTCAGAGTTTGATTCTCTTCACCCTGGCAGTGGAATGCAGTCAGAGTGGATGGGATGATGAGCCCCCATCCCAGGTACTGCCAGGTGCCAGGCTTGGCCCCAGCACTGCCCTCCTGGAGCCCCCAGGCAGTGATCAGTATGGAATCTCTAAGACCAGGTGGGTGCCATGTCCACCCACTCACCATGAGGCCTCTGTGAGGCAGCCAAGAGACACTCAGCCATTATGTGGTTTGTTGAAGGGGTTGAAGTAAGTGAACCTATTGGAAATGTTAATTTACTAGTAAACATTCAAGAGTGACCTTACGTGTTTTATGCCAAAGATAAATCAGAGGGTACAGACACCAACGGATGCCTAGTAACATTCATTTGTAGTAAGTTTCTTGCCCCCCCTAAAATATTCAGTTTGTAAATACTGTTGTGTAACTTAAAAAATGTGTCTACTGGCAAAAATAATCATGTTCAATTTTCAGAAACTATGCAGAGGCTTGATTTGGTGAATAAGTTGATCTCTAGGTTGGATGGACACTTAGAATAAATGCTGATAGAAACATCTCAGAAATCAGCTTTTAGTTCTCTAGTAAAAAGAAGCCCAGCAGAATTAGAGCTGTTAAACAGCATGGTGAAATACTCCCTAAACCCAGGTCCCTGCCAAGGGTGGGCCAGGGTGCCGGGAGACCCCAGCCGTCTCCCTGAGATCTTGATCTGGTCCGTCCTCCCTCCTCCCTCCACAGCGTGAAGCACATCTCCTGCTCTCTGCTCATCCTGCACGCCGAGGACGATCCGGTCGTGCCCTTCCACCTTGGCAGGAAGGTGGGTGTCCGTGGGCCGCTGGGCGGGAGACACCTGTCAGGCACACGTTCGGGCTGGGCTGGGCACAGGCAGATGTCAGGCGGGGCCTGCTGCTGGCAGGGTGGGGGTCGGGCTAGAGAGCCATGCCGTCCACCAGAGGAAGCATAAAAAATAAGTAAATGTTTCCTAGGTCCCAGGACAGGGTCCTGGCCTGACAGAGGCTTGACTACAGGGGACCCAGCGGGATGGCTCGCCATGTTTTGGCCGGAGGATAGGACTTCTTGATGACAGGATCCTCCAGCCCTGGCTCAGGAGTCCCAGTCAGTAGTGTTGACATAGACTCTCGCATTTGCTCTCCCGCCTTTGGGACTGGAGCAGTGCTGGAGGAGTGTCATGAGGTCACAGGGCCCCCGCATTTACTTTCGCTGAGTTTGCTTTGCCTTTGCTGCCACGACGCAGGGTTAGATTTGTATCATAGGTGAGCGTGAGGCAGGAGACAGCATTGCCTGGCCATGGTGAGAAAGAGGGGCAGGGGCAGCCTAGAGGGGGTGATGCCTGGGCTACTTCCCCTCACAACAGGCCCGAGGTACAGGCGAGTCTGGGCTCTCAGTCTGGCTGTCCTGGAGGAGGAGGAGGAGGAGGGAGGGGCTGAGAGAGTTTGTTGACTGGCCTTGACCAGGCGTACAGCAAAGGCTGAGGTACCTGACCCATCCCAGCTCCCCAGGCTGAGCCCTCAGGGCTGCTCGCCGCTCTTACACCACCACATCACCCACGGCACGTGGTGCCGGCTCAGTCACCTCACCTCAGGAAGGGGGCAGTCTGAGAAGCAGGTGTGGGGACAGGCTGAGGGGCTGCGCCTGGGCTGGGCTCATGCCAGCACTCTGGCCTTGGCCATGGCAGGCTCCTGGGCTGTTTGAGGGGCCATGGGTGCCTCTACGGGACTCTGTTGAAGAGGAGGCCATCAGGCAGGTCACTACAGGACCGCCATGCCATCTCTGGGCACTGACCTGCTTCTCCCTCCTCAGCTCTACAACATCGCTGCCCTATCGCGAAGCTTCCGAGACTTCAAAGTTCAGTTTATGCCCTTTCACTCAGACCTCGGCTACAGGCACAAGTACATCTACAAGAGCCCTGAGCTTCCTCGGATACTGAGGTGAGAGACTCTTCTCCTCAGGGAAGTCGTCCTGGGTGGCGCCAGCGTGGGCCAGACGTACAGCAGCTCATCCACTAACGCTGCCTCAGTGGGAGGATTCTCGAGCCTTTTCTGTCCTCGGAGAGGAGCTGAGCGTTTATCGCTCCTCCCTCCTGGACTGTTCCTGTGATCTCCCGGGGACAGGTTGTGCAGGCCCACACAGGGGTGTGTCTAGCACAAGACATATCACGTTCAGGTTGTAATTTCCCCTATCATTACAGAAAAGTTAGACCAGAGTATAGCTCTGAAGTTTAAGCAGCGCTCATGAGCTGGTCTCTCTTCCTGCCTGTCACTGCCTGTGATGCCATTGGTGCCCTGCCTGTTGCTCTCCAGGCTCCTGCTCTTTAGACGAGCTGTGAGGACAGGGGGAGGCGGGATCTTGGGCTTGGCTGACCGTTGTCCTCTGGCCTAGGGAATTCCTCGGGAAGTCGGAACCTGAGCTCCAGCACTGAGCTCACTGCCTGAAGGAGCATGCAGACCTCTGCCCTTCTCCCCATTCCTCTGACCAACCCAACACCCCGGAGACCGGGTGCAAGTGTCTGCGGTGCGCCTGGAGGGAGGCCTTGGATGCCAGCGAGGGCAGGCGGAAGAGGCTCTGGCAGACTGGAGGCCAGAAGCGTGGATTTTTGTGGAAAATGTGAGTGGCAGACACGTGGCCCTCTCTCCTTGCTGCCACGCAACCTGAGCTCTTGCAAAGGGTAACACAGCAGGCCAGCCTCCAGGCAGGCAGTCCCACACCTCCGAGCTGGGCATGGAGAACAGGGCAGGAGGTCTGAGGTCTTGGGACCACACTGAGCTTCCCAGCACCACCCACGAGAAAGTGGGAGACTTGGGCCCTGTCCCTTCCCAGCACATGCAGAATGGACTCTGACGGTTCCATCATCCCTCTGCCCTGTGTACCCCGCTTGCCTTCTTTGATGTCCCTGCCTCCCTAGGCAGGTCCCATCACTCACAGAGGTGCCTGTGATCTGCATTTCCTCCTCTTTCTACCCACCTAACCTGGCCCTAGACTGAGCATTTATTTAATAAAATCCGGTGGTGGTCTGTCTGTTGTCTTTTCAGTTCCATTTCTAGCCCCGCTCAGAACCTGCCCAAACCCCAAACCACTCAGAGCCTGGCCACATGGGTGGAGGGGTGCCTTCCAGGGAGGGGCCTTCTCCACATGTGGCGGATGGTATTTTCCTGACATATAGGCCTACATAAGTGACCCTTTCAACCTGATGCTTATTGGACATGGCCATGTCAGAGGATGGGCACTGGGGTCTCACCATGGACCCCTATTGACAGGGCAGCTGCTGGAGTGCAGGGACTTGTGTGGCCTATGACTGTCGCCACCTTCACTCGCCTGGTGGTGGTTCTTGTCTCGTTTGGCTTTTTGTTAAACCAGCTTCTCCTCTCCCCTGGCACCGGTGACCTCTCAGAGAACTGATTTAATAAGAATGTGGCCTTGAGCTGCCCCCTCAGGGCGTATCCCAGCTCAGGGTAGGGAAGCCACCTGGGACACAGCCACTCCTGAGGGCTGGCCTTCCTCCCCTTGGTCCTGAGGCTCTGGAACAGCAGTCCCAGCAGCTCAGAAATTTCTCACCTGCCTGTCCTGCAAGGCATTAGGGCCAGTGTTAGCATCTGGTGATGCTGGGGATCATCCCAGAACTGCCTCGCCCCCCACCCTCCCTTCTGTGTAACTGCTCTGCCTCGGAGGCTCCGAGAACCACTGACCACCAGAGGCCAGAGCAGGCTACACCCCCTCCCGGGGCACTTTAGATCTGCCGATGGCGCTTCCACATCTGGGAGATGCACTTTTCTCAAACTGGGATTGAAATGTAAAGACACTTGTCCTGAAGTTGATGTATTTTCCAGGTGTGAGCACTGCCCATAAGCACCATTGTCCCAGGCTGGGCCCGGCCCGATAGCATCTTTCTGTGTAACTGCTCTGCGTCAGAGGCTCTGAGAACCACTGACCACCACGTGTCCCTGGGCTGGACAGCCCTTTCAGGAGGCTGGAGTGCTCCCTGGCTGTGTCCCCGACTCGCAAAGCCACGTTCTCGGCCAAGGAAGTGCGTGTGATCTGCTCATATTATCTCAGACCTGCCTGTTCTGTCTGGGTCCTTCGTGGGATTTTTGTTTGTTGGTTTTTTTGTCTATGTGAAAGGCCTCAGATCCTTTTCTAGGGGGAATGAGATAGGATATAAAGTAAAAATACAAGCTGTGTTTTTATAGGTTCCTGACAGGCCGACTGAAGATGAGGAAGCACAAAAAAAGGAGCATTGAGTGGACAGCCACTGGCCATTACCTCAGTCAGGTCCAAAGGACCCTACTTGATGGCTTCTTAGCTTATTACCTGGGTCCAAGGCACTAAGCTTAAACTGTGGGTAAGCACTGACCCTGGGTTACAAAATCAATGCGTGGTCAGGACCAACGCTTTATAAAAAAGAAGAGATGTCGGTGTGCATAGCTATAAGCTGCAGTTACACACAGTCCTGGGAGCCAGGACGAGGATGGGAGCATGCATTCCCAGGGCACATCCCCACCTCCAGGAGAGGCTCATTGTCACTGCCCCCAGCAAGTTCGCCGTGCTCCAGGCTCCCATACTTCTCAGGGTATTTGGTAACCCTGAGCTCCAAGTTTACACCACTCCTGGTTTTTTATTCACCTGGCAGCTATACAGTTTTGGAGAAAATATTTTTGGGCATTCTGCCTGCCAGGATGGGTGGCAGAAGATGGGTGCAAAAGAAGCCAATACATTCCTGCACAAAAAGTGCACGCCCAGAGGGCAGTTTGCCAAGTGACTAGGTTTCATGGTTCTTGGAAGAACTGGCAGTTTAGGCATACCCAGCTCCCAAGTCTCATCAGCTGGGCCGAAAGAACTGTCTTCAGTCCCAGGACAACGGCCGTAACTGAGCCCATCTCCTCTTTAGGAGGGAGGACTGAAGCCTGCCCCAAGCTGACCCTGAGTGAAATGCCGAGGCCAGGCCAGCCAAGTGTGGGCAGGAAGTTTTAATCAGTTTCTCATACGAGGCAATAACAGCAAGTGGCACAGTGATCGTCGCATACAGCCTGAGGGACAGGGCAGTGGAGGGTGTTGGGGGTATGGCCACAGGCCCCAGTGGCTCCGATGAAGTGTGGCCTTGAGCAGGTCCTCCATGGCCTGGTTCTGAGAGCAGTCAGGATGCAGGATGAGGGCAGAGCCTGTGATGTCAGGCCCAGCATGCAAGGAGGCAGAGCCTGGGGAAGGTGCTTCCATCGAAAGTTCCCAACGACCCGCGGTGAAGGGCACCACCTGCCCTTTCTGGCTTTCTCTGGGCGG